ACGGCTGATTAAATCTCAGCTTAATATTGCGAAATATAGCACAGGTTATTTGTTCCAAAATGGCCAAATTGGCAATGTTGAAACCCTCACACGTTTCAGAAAAAAGATTACAGGCGAAGTCTCTTTAAAATGTAAGCTGAAAACTATAACATTTTTTTTCGAATGATAAAAAACTCCGTCAAAAATGGCTAGTTGAAAAATCGAAATTTATTTGCAGAAAGAAACACCCCGCACAAATATTCCGTCACTTTCTTCGAAAGTCGAAACAATAACATTCTACAGCTCAAAACTGCCGCAGCCGTCATTTTTTAGCAAATTTAATACGCGAATGCAACCTAATGCGTCCAAATACAAGCACCGTGAATAGAGCATGCTATCAATGAAATCCAAACTGATGAATTCTGAGCACTTATTGGCTCAAGTAAATGAGATCTGAGCCCTTTTTGGCTCAAGTAAAGGTTTTTGATTCCAATGAATATTGGAATCTGGCAAATGTTTGTTAAGTTTGAATCCGATGAAAAAAAAATCCGAAAAATAGTTTTTGATTTTGCTCATGCGGAACAACCGTAATCTCTCAGTATTAAAATTTGAACAAATTGCATCTATTTTAAACAATTCTGTTGCATATTACAGTATTGATTTTAATACTGTTTTGTTCTACCTGGTTGGTGATTTTAAGAAACACTTGAAAATGATTCTGCGGCAAAGTTTTCATGGCAGTTTTTAACTCAGAGCAGTGTTATTTAGTTTTGGAGTCCGCAACCATCACAAATGCAAAATCACTGCTAGAGTATATTCAAGGTTGGAGAAGATTTAAAGCTTGTATCGTGTATCCACTGTCAATTTAGTGCAAAACTGTGCCTTCGAGTTTAGCTAATTTTACCCGCTGACAGAAGTAGACAACGTTTTTATAATCTTTTGCAATCCTTTACTTTTTTTTCTTGGTAACCTAATTTATCTTCCTTAATTATAAAACAATGAAAACAATGCATGTAGTCTAATGTAAGTTAGGAGTTGAACGTCGTTTTCATTAGACGTAGCTTTCAGAGATAAGAATTGAGATTTAATTTGATTCTCTGTAAAAAGCCAAGACATGATTTAGTCTTTCTTAATTGTATTCGATATCGGCGAATTTTGACGAAAAAAACTTTTTGACGACTTGTTTTTGTCCGAACTGAGTTAAATGAAGTTCAGACTGATTCCACGATCAAATGGTTTTGGAGATTTTATTGAGGTGTCCAATTTGAACAATAGAAGCATAGCTATCTCAGGTTTTAGTAATTGTAAAAAAACATTAACTTAGATTTTTTTTCACATTATTAATTAGTCGGAATGTCTTGTCAGTGAAATCAAAAATTTTGCGCTACCATTTATTACACAAGGACGGGTTCCTGATTTTTTGAATTATTTGTGAATTATTCTGTTAATTCTTTTTGATTGACGTTGAATGAGATGTATTCAAGTTTTGTTTTTTGAAACTGCATAGCTATTGATTTGGTTGATTGATAGCAATTAGCAGCAGAGTTTTAAAACGCTAGGAAATTTTTCTTGGATCCCTGTGAGCCGAATTGATCATTTTTTGTTCCGACTTTCGATAGGAAAGTAACGGAATATTTGTGCTCGGAGTGGGTTTTTTTTTATTTCGCGCTATTAGCGCGGAAGCGGAGAGTTAATTCGTCTTAGAAATCGTTCCAAATTGGTTTAACGAAGCTTATTTGCCATAATTGATTTGTTACAAGTAGCGAAATCTATCCTTTTGTACTTAATATGGCGTGTGGGGTGATGATTTTTATTTTAAAAAATTTTAAATTAAAAAAAAATTCATTTTGTTTTATTACTTTTAATTTTTAAATTTTATTACTGCCCCATAAGCCTTAATAGGTAGTCGGAACATTCAGGGCTTCGCCCTGATACGAGCAGTCTTGTTTATTTTTAGTTTTGAGAGCTATTTTACACGAACTGGTTATACGTAGTGAAATAGTTGACGCATAATTCTCTGGATCTGTTTTTTTTGTAAAGATTTTTTCTAAAGAGTTTTTCAAGGAATTTTGCTTTCGGCCTTGAACCCATACCCCAAAAGTCTGTCGTTGGGACTTTTAGTATTGTTTTTCGAGAAAATGTTTGGAATGGTTAGCTCATGAATGGTTGCATGATGCTGATTGGTTAGTTTTGGAGTTTTTTCAGTTAAAAAAATTTGAATACGATTATCTGAACGCTGGAAGCTGAATACAAAAAACTTCCCGTCCAATAAATTTTATGTTTATCATACAACCAGCAACTTTTCAGTAAAAAAAACATACTGAGAAAAATTTAAAAACTATTGCGCATACAATTGTTTTATTCTATAACTTTTTCAATTATTAGAAAAAAAGCTATTCACCCTAGCATATAAGCATATACAATTTTCATATAGGGAAATTCTATGACTAGCATTTTTCCTTACACCGAAAATATTGATTTTTACATTTTAATTTTAACCGGACACAACTAACAAATACTTTGGTTAATCAAACGATTTTAAAATTTGAATTTTTAATTCACTAGATATTAATCAAGGCATACATAAACATGACATACAAAAGGAAGATGAGTTTTAAGCATTTTTGAAAAAAGTTATCAAGAGAAAAGGAAAAAAAATCCATGATTAGTGTATCCAGGATTACGTTTTTGTCAAGAAAAAAAAGCTAATCATACAATTTCCATACATGGAAATAGTATGACTAGCATTTTTTAATGGCGACAACACAAAATTTTCTATATTTTTGAAATAATCCCCAAAACTTTTTTTGTGTTTTTTTTTCAACCGAATACTGAATTTTGTACTCAAACAAACATTTTTGGAAAAAAAAGTTTTGCTTGCAAAATTTAATTTTTTTTTGTGTGTATGCACAAAAAATTAAATTTTGCATGCAAAATTTTTTTTTCAAAAAAAGTTTATTTGAGTACAAAATTCAAAATGCGGTTGAAATAAAACCACAAAAAAAGTCTTCGGATAATTTCAAAAATATAGAAAATTTTGTGTTGTCGCCATTAAAAAATGCTAGTCATACTATTTCCATGTATGGAAATTGTATGATTAGCTTTTTTTTGACAAAAACGTAATCCTGGATACACTAATCTTGGATTTTTTTCCTTTTCTCTTGATAACTTTTTTCAAAAATGCTTAAAACTCATCTTCCTTTTGTATGTCATGTTTATGTATGCCTTGATTAATATCTAGTGAATTAAAAATTCAAATTTTAAAATTAAGCATCTTTGAAAATTTTTGCCAAAATTTAAAAGTTTGATACTTTCGTTATATCATTTGTGTGAGACAGAATTAGGAAATTTCAGGCAGTTTCCAATGCGAGAAGGTCAAACTTTTGGTTACTCTACGTTTTTTTTTTCAAAAAAAGTTTATTTGAGTACAAAATTCAAAATGCGGTTGAAATAAAACCACAAAAAAAGTCTTGGGGATAATTTCAAAAATACAGAAAATTTTTTGTTGTCTCTATCAAAAAAATGCTAGTCATACAGTTTCCAGGTATGGAAATAGTATGAGTAGCATTTTTTGACAGAACTTTTTTCTTTTTTATTTAGTAGGATGCACCAAATTTTATGCACAAACGAGAAAAAAAAGTTCTTCGAAAATTCGTGTGATTAGTTTTTTTTCATAGACATAGCTGAACTGTATGTTTAGCATTTTTGGTCTATGGAGGTCAACCCGGGAGTATAATATCTTAATGCTTTGACATTTGATTAGTGAAAAAAAACACAGCTGATGCATTTTTAAACCATCAAATGAACCAAAAAAATTCTTCGTTTCAAATAAGAGTGCGATGATAAAAAGCTCGATTTTAGAAATTTTTCAACTCAATGTAACTCGCTTTTTTTAAATGCATAAATTATACATAATTTGGCTTTATGTTTTCCGATTTCTTTCATGCAAAATTGTGTCTTTTTTATTTGGTGATACTTTTGCTGCATCGAATTGCAATTTTTAGCATAAAAAGCTGCGTTATTGGTGGCTAGTTTTTTGGCAGTTTAACTATCCGTGACTGAGTTGTTAGTGCGTGAGACGCAAATTTGCAATACAGATTCGAATTCGACACGTAGCCGAGTTTTTGCCAATTCGAGCCTTATTTCTACTTTTTGATAGTTCACTTGATGAAGCTACCTTTTAGCCGTGTTCTCGCAAGTGTTGCGACGCACAGATTTGCCTGTGTTAAAGTTTATTTTGATGAATTTATGGGAAAAATTTTCACTTCAAACTTAGTATTGCTCAGTCTATCAGTGGAAAAGCTCTCTCTTTCTTCCAGTCAACTTCCAAACGTTGTTATTTAGCGGAAAGCATTTATTCATAACACGATTCAAACCAAAACTTTAAACATGCCAAAGAAAAACTTGAGACCATTTGTTCTCTCCATACCATTTCTGTTTTTCAAAGCAGGTTTTTTGCTAATTTATTGATTCTGTTTAAGGATCTAGCCTTGAATTTTGAAAAAAAAATTAAATCCTAGAAATTTTTGCTTCGTTTTCAGTTCAAGTAAAAAGTGTAAAACCGTTTCGGGGTAACTAAGCCTCTGTCTCTCTCTTTCTCCCTCTCTCTCTCTCTCTTTCTCTCTCTGTCAAGAATTAGTTTTTAAAAAATTAGCGAACAGCTTAAGTTGAGCTGAGTTTTCGATATTTTCTTGGTTTTCTGTTTAAATCGACGTTCTAACCAATTTTTTTAAGCAAAGAAACAAAGATAATACCACCAACCCTCTTGTTCCTCAGACCGAACAATTACTGCAAAATCGTGTCAGTTGAAAAAAATTTTATGTCAAAAAGCTGAAATTTATTTGTTATTCTTTTGATGCTAAGCAATCAAAAACATACTGTGCTCTTCAGAAAGTTGAAAATCCTTAAATGATGGGAATTGAGATAAGAGAAGTAAATTTTCAGAACTATTTTTTGTATGAACTACTAACTTTTAGTTTATTCTTATTAGGAAGTTCATTCAGTCTTTATTAAAGAGATGGCATTAGTAAAAATTAAAACATTAGCAAAGATCAAATTTCATGGCAAACAATATGCTCCTCATAATTTTATATACTTTGTTTTTAGTAAAAGATGTGGTACTTAATTTCAATTATTGTATTGCTGATTAGACTTTAGCGCAATAAACTGTCATGTTTCCTCCAGAATCCAGCCAATTACTTTCCTTTTTTTCAATGGCTGCCCAAACTACGTGATGAATATTGCAAGCTTTATTTCCAGAAATTTTTCTCTCGAAGAATGAACATCCATTGTGATGGTTCAAAACACTTACCATTAGACTAAAATCATCTTTTGCTCCAATTGAAGATAAGGTTCGAAACGAAATTTGCAACTTGGGAACCCTCTGATCTACACACATAATTTTCATCACGCCAATTTGAAGTACTGTTCCCCCGAGCGAGAGAGGAACTGACCAAAATTTTTTGTAAAAAGATTGCAACGTCGTTATCAAATTTAGAAATCTGAATTGAACTACGGCGTTATCCTTCTCGACAGAAGGAACAAAAGCTTCTGTTTGAACGCCTTTTTCAGTACGTTCTTGAATTTTTACTTGTGGATATTCATAACTCGCTGAAAGAAATTTTTGAATTAGTTCAAGACTGCAATCTCCAGTACCGGCGGCGAATTTTTGAAGATCAGTAAGACTGCCCGAAAGCTCATTGGCAGTTTTTTGCACCGTTCGCACTTTGGTCTCCAACGTCCGGAAGTGAACAAGATCTTCGCTTAATGTTCTCAACTTTTTGTCTAGTTTCGAGACTAGTTCAGCACCTAAAAGCAGCACACCAAAGAACACTAAAACTTAAGAGCCGTCATCATTTTGAAACAAAAAAGTTGCTAATTATAAAAATTTGTTCGGTCAACTTTTGAATTTCAGTTTTGTAGTTAGGACCACAAAGTGAGAAGTGTTTTGTTTTAAGGTGTACTCACGTTTTCTTTCAGACGCCAATTGATCAATTTTTTCAATATTTTAAAAAATCATATCGGTTTCGAGAAAAACCAGTTTGAACACACTATTTAGAGAAAACTGAAGAGAAGAGTGAATAGTATTTAGGTTTTTTGTTGTTTAAAAAACTTTAAAGTCTTTTCACGTCAATGTGTTTTTATAATATACTATACTAAACATTCACTTTTACCTCGAATCGCGCACGAACAAATAATGACAAAAATTATCCCTTTTGTGTATTTTCTTCAAAAATATTTATAAACCGAATCGCTTGGACTTTTTGCACAGCAGCTGGTTCCTCTCGTTGAAAGTGTCAATATTTTGGAAACATTTAATGATTTTTGTATAAACTTTTTTGAACTTTGGTTTTGTTTACTGGGCACATAGATTTGGCCTCAATTTTTTCTTTCTCTAAAAATTGGCTTCAGAAAGCACAATTAAAATAAAACAACCACAATTTTCGAAAAATAATACTAAAAATAGTATTATTTTTCGAAAATTGTGGTTGTTTTATTTTAATTGTGCTTTCTGAAGCCAATTTTTAGAGAAAGAAAAAAATTGAGGCCAAATCTATTCCGAAGAGCGAGAATGAGAAAAAATTGAGTCTAAATTTTTCTGAAGATGGCTAAATTGAAACACTGTTTTACAGCCTACTGCTTTTTGCTAACAGAATCTTATGAAAATCAAATTGAAAATGAAAAACGAAACTTGTATTTTTCTAAATGACTCTCAGGAATTTTCAATTGAAGGGGAGGGATGATTAAAAACTTTTAATTGTACAGAGGGACAAAATGCGGTTCGGGAGCGGTTTAAAATAATGGCTTGTTCGTATAATGTGACCTTCACTGAATAAATAGTAGCAAAATAAATTAACTTTAAACTTTCTTTTCTCAGCGTTATTTGGTTGATAAAGGATGTGAATTCTTGATCAGTTGTGACAGCTATGAGGCAATTAACAATCTTATGAGAACGTTTTCCCAAATTGTTTCTCAAAAAATGCGTCAGATGTTTTTCCATTGAAAATTTAGTCTAAAATATAATTAAACGATTTGTTTGTCTCACTGCTGTCTACAAAAATTATTCTTTTCTCTCAACTTTGATCCATACAATTAGGACCGCATTCTTTTGATTTTGAACTTCCTTCGCACATACTATTAGGCCTATTTTTGATCATTTTTGTTTTATTTGGCTTAAATAAATAATGATTCATTGGTTCTGATTTGATTTTGTTTCATGTTGCCTCATATTTTTCTCAGCTTCTGAGATCCATACAAAAAGATCATTTTTCATTATGTTGGGTTGAATTGTGTCCTGTTTTTAAGTAATGACATAAAAAAGCACAAAAGCTATTCTCACCGGCTGCTCCAAAGTTTTTTTTCGCTGGAAGTTTGCTCAGCTTTTTCTCGACTTCTCTTCTCAAATATTTCTTAAAAGCAACAACTGAGTGCTTGTCGTGATTTGATTCTAGGCAATCATCGCAAGTCTCAATCTTGCAATCTTTACACCTAAAAGATACTAAGTTGTCACATAAGGAATGCGAGCAAACTGGAGGTGTAAATGACGTATGTTTCTGCAGGTTTTCCATCTTTTTCCGAAGCTCCATGATTTCTTTCTGATATGCGCTGATTTCTGACGAGTATTCTTCCAAATGTTCCCGTATGCCATATAAAGGTTTCAAATCTTCGACTGTCATCCGATAATTTTCATTGCAAATGGCACATTGTAATAAGCCATTCGATTTTTGCAGTGCTGTTAGACAGGTTTTCGAAGGACCGCAATAAGAATGTCCACAAGGTAATGCCCGAGGATCCGTCATTATTTCCGTGCAAATGGAGCAGCTTAGAGTATCGTTGTCAACCTGTTTTCTCGAGGTGCTTGCGCAAGCCATGCTTATGACTAGAACAGATAACGTGTCAAATTGTAATCAATAAAAAATATGTGACAACAAATTACTTTTACTTAGACAAATCAAGCTGAATACATTTTTTAAACTCTGAGAAATCCTTTACTTAATTTTTTGCAGGTACATTTTTTCAAAACTTTGAATTATAAAAACGCTCTATAGCTGAAACTTCTAGACAACAGGCAATATCTTGACAAACGAGTCGAAATTGACATTTTAGAGTAAGTTGTTTTACTGTTTTGGCCGCAATCGCTCGAAATTGATATAAATCACTTCTGCTGGGGATTCTGAAAATGTTATCCATTTCTTTTAAATTTTAGAAACACCATTTTAAAACAAAAGTATAACTAGAAATTTTTGGATAGGTTTGTTAGCCGCACGATTTTTTAAACCTTTCTCTCCACTTTTTTATTTGTTTGGATTTTCCAAGTAGAAACTTGTTGCAAAAAAATACTGTTTTTTATGGTCGACAAGTAGTAATTTTGAGGTAAAGAAATTCACTTAGAAATAATCCATGTTTGGCACTGGAGCACAAAAATGGCTAATTTAAAAGTAGTTTTGAAGAAATCAAGATATAACTCGGATAAAATCAAGATTAAAACAAACAAGACTGCTCGTATCAGGGCGAAGCCCTGAATTTTCCGACTACTGCCTTTTAAAGTTTATGGAGCAGTAATAACATAAAAAATTAAATGTAATAGAATAAAATGAAAAAAATATATATAAGAAATCATCCCCCGACACGCCATATAAAGAACAAAAGAATAGATTTCGCCCATTGTAACCAATCAGTTATGGCAAATAGCTTCTTTTAACCAATTTGGAACGATTTCTAAGACGGATTAACTCTCCGCTTACGCGTTAATAGCGCGAAATATATCGCGCGTTAATTGTCCCAAATTGGCCAAAATGGCAATGTTTGAACCCCCGTAACTTTACGAAAAATGATGACAGGTAAAATATCTTTTCAAATTTGAGCTCAGGACAACAATACCTTTCGAATGATATTTAAAAAAATTCTGTCAAAAATGTCTAGTTAAAAAGTCGAAATTTGTCTGAAGAAAAAAAACCCCAGTCGGAACAATAACAGGAATTTTCATTGATCCCACGCTGAAGGGATGTCATTAATTATAACCCCCCCCCCCCCGTTGCATCAGGGGGGCCAATTCGTTAGAAGGTACAAATTTACGTATATGCTTATCGTTACACGGTACCATTGGGGGGAAAAAGTTAACAAGATCCAACTGAACACACCTGTTTTGTCAGCAAAACGTTTCTTTTTTAAACTTGCTGCGTGCTGAATTACTGATCAATTTAAACAGGCTTTCGATGAAATTAAAAAAGATGTGCGTCTACAATTTGGTAGAGCTAGTAAATATTTGTTGACGGTTTATGGTTTGAGCTGTGCTACTTTGTATGTGTTATAACCAACAACCATTCTAATGGACTGAGCACAGGAGCAACTGTTTTACGCCATTTTAGCAATAACACCATCTTCTAGTCACAATGTTTGAATTAAATTGCATTTAATGGTTTGAAAGCTTTTACAGTTGGTATATATTCTTGCATCGTTTTAAGGCTCGCTTAAAAATAGTAAAGCGTACAACTTAAAAAATCTTTAATTGTCAGCCTTATTCTTTCATCCCTAGAAAAATAAAATTAAGTATCAAATTGTAAATGATCTAAGACGTTTTTTTTTACGTTCGGAAACGGAATCACTTCGATCGGAGAGTGTGCTTCGCAACCAGACTGGAGGTCGGAAGTACTTGAAGGTAGCCCAGCAGCAGCAGAGTTCCAGGGCACTCACTCTGGGTCAGGGGATGGGAGCACCTCAAATGAGCAGCAGCCGAAGTAGTCTGCAGAATCTCCACACTGTATCCAGAGCATCCAGTAATAAGTCATTAGACAATTTAAGCCTCACAGGGTAAATCTGCCATGTTGTCAGACTTTATGTCCAGCTAATTTATGTCCAGATCTTCCAGCAGACTTTCGGCGCGACGATGTAGTTTGGGTCTTGATCCGGATGCGGCCCGATTTTCAAAGTCTGTAGATAAGTCTGGGACCTCTACCCGGGGTGTTACCTATAACTGTGATTTTAGGAGTAGGGGAGATTTCTCACCCATATTCACAAAAAATGAAAAAAATCTATGAACTTGTTTTTTATTTCTTATTGCTAAGTCAACTCGTTTTCTTACTAGAGTGACAATTTGCTTAATTTTGGAGCATGCACTCGTCATAATAGTGTCTTTTAGTGGATTTATTAATTATCTTTTGAACACACCTTTGTAGAAAATATACATAGATAGAAGCTGAATTTAGCAGACCTTGAATTATTGGAAAAAACGGGTAATTTTAGAGGGCGGGGGTCACAAAAATATGGGGGAACTAATTATACTTGCGAGAGTAATTGTCTTGTGACGGAAACTAGACTCCCCCCATGAACAGTTCTTTTGCAGGAAATTGAACATGCTTCATTATTGAACCTTAACAACTCGCAAGCTTCTTTTCACTTTGTCTATAGGTAAAACTGTTGTCTTTGCACCCTATGGTCTCGCTCGGTTTTAATCACCGACCTGACCTTTTTTCAGTATTTATGAAACTGAAAATAATCTCCCGGGAAAAAGTTAATTGTCGGACTTTCGTTTGTCAGCTTATGCTTTTTCAGTCTAAATGTCACTTAACTGGTTCCTCTGAATTTTTAGTAATTTTCATTTACTTTCAAGTTTTGTACTCCTGTAATCTTTAAATTAACTAGCCTTATATTAGTGTATTTTTTTGTTTTTTATTTTTGCTTAAAATTTTTAGTCAGCTTGTCAATTTAATTTATGTCGTTTGAAGGAAAAAAATTGATCATTTTAATCAAAGGTAAATTAGGTCTTTAGTGGTTATAAGTTCAAAGTTTTTAAGCTAAATCGCCGAGGGTTTTGTTTTGACAACAATTTCTTGTGGCGTTTTTTTTTTGTTTGTAGCTCAATGGTGTCTAGTCATTTACATGGCTCAGTGGACGCTCGATAAACTCTTACAATTTATTCAATGCTGATTGCTGGATTTGTGTACTGGTTTTCTGAATTTGAAATTTTCCTTTTTTCCAACAAACTTTTTCAATTTTTTACTTATTTTTTTCCATCTCATTGTATTTTTGCTAGCTTGCAATGCTACGCTTGCCTTGTATCACAGATGATGCGAAGCTCTGCTTTACTTTAGTGTTTGAATTATGAAGTACAACCAAGAAAAAGTTAGTTTAAGCTGGCGGAAAACGTGTTGATCGTGCAATAGTGCTATTATAGCTCTGAAACTTGTGAGTGAGTTGGGCTCAATTTTGTGGTCAGACCCTTCCAAACAACAAAACCGCTTTCTGTACTAGCAAAACTGAGAATATGTTCCACCGGGAATTTTCCAGCGCTTTTATCAAGCTATGTTGCAGATGTAATGCAATCTATAGGTCGCATATGAGTGAATAAGGCATACTGCTATGTTGACAATTTTTTCTGTTCATCTCGTTGGTACTTTAATGGTAACGGTTAGTACATAAAACCATTTTTTGTTCAGCTAACTCTTAATCACTAAAAGACACTATTAACTTGATTCCCCCTCCCCCTATGAACAGTTCTTTTGTAATAAATTGAACTTGCTTTATTATTGAACCTTAACAACTTCCAAGCTTCTTTTCACTTTGTTTATAGGTAACGCGGTTGTTTTTGCACCCTAAGGTTTTGGTTTTAATCACCGGCCTGACATTTTTTCAGTGAACACTCGTTAGTAAATATGTAATAAATAAGTGACTTTTTGGTTTCGTCAAACAATTCCGTCATGGTTGTTTTTTTCTTGATACAAAACTTAATGATGATTTAGTTTATAGCTTTTTAAATTGTCCCAATACCTTGAATTTTGATGTCAGGAGGCCCTGATTCAAAATAAAATTGAATTAGTTTTGTCATTAAAAAGGGATGTATTTAAAAAAAGATGTAACGACCGTTCATTTTAAAAACATAGTCTTCTTTTTTATTAATTGTTTTTCATATACAATGACCTGAACGCTACGGATTTTTTTAATATCTTTAAAATTTTGGTTGAGTCGTTTTTTAAATCAACTCTCAGTTTTTTTCACTGAATTGATGACGTTTGATGAGTTTAGAAATTTTACTTTTTGTATTGGCTTCAATCTCTATTGCTGGGTGCTCAAAAACCTACAGAAGTAATTTTTTGTTTATTGAAAACTGGTAGCAAACTCGTTCTATCAAATTGTGTCCACAAATTTTGACTGAGCCATTCATTTTAATCAGCGTTCAGCTTTATTGACTGAAGTGCTGTCCATTTTAGACTATACTTTTTGTATTTGATTTAATCTCGGTAACTAATTAAGGAAGGTGCTACAAAATTGTGCTAATTTTGTGCTCATTGAAAAACTGGCATCACATCAGAATTTAAAATCGTCTCAAGTTCAGTGCTCGAAAGCGTTTGAGTCGCATCAGTTTGTAGAGAGACCATAAAACCGAACATCATTCAAACAAGAAGTCTCGTATCAAAGCAACATCTTGAACGTTCAGACTGCCCTAAAGGTCTATGGAGTAGAGCTCGTTTGTAAAAATTGATTCATTTTCTAAACAAAAATGGAAATATTTTACAGAATTTTTTTTCAAATGTTTGATGGAATCATTCATCTACGCGCTATTTTAATTTGAAATAGAATATATTCAAATAAGGTTATTTTAAAGCATATATTAGCGTGTTAGTTAGAACAGTTTGCATGCCCCAATTCATTTGGAACGATTTCTGAGCCGGATTGTACTACCGTTTTTGCGTTCATAGCACGAAATATATCGCGCATGAATTATCCCAAAATGACCAGTCTGGATATATTTTTTTCTCCCATAATTTTTTTTCACAAAAGTAGTTTTACACAAATTGCGAAGCAACGATAGCGTAGCATTGCAAGCACCAAATAGACAGTGAGATAAAAACAACTAGGTAAAAAATTGAAAAATTATGCTCGAAAATATCAAAAATTTCAAATTCAGAAAACAGTACAAAAATCCAGCAATCAGCATTGAATCAATTGTAAGAGTTTATCGAGCGTCCACTGAGCCATGTACATGAGTAGACACCATTGAGCTACAAACAAAAAGAATGCCACAAGAAATTGTTGTCAAAACAAAACCCTCAGCGATTTAGTTTAAAAACTTTGAACTTATAACCACTAAAGACCTAATTTACCTTTGATTAAAATTATCAATTTCGTTCCTTCAAACGACATAAATTAAATTGACAAGCTGACTAAAAATTTTAAGCAAAAATAAAAAACAAAAAAAAATAAACTAATATAAGGCTAGTTAATTTAAAGATTACAGGAGTAAGTAAGCAAAACTTGAAAGTAAATGAAAATTACTAAAATATCAGAGGAACCAGTTATGTGACATTTAGACTGAAAAAGCATAAGCTGACAAACGAAAGTCCGACAATTAACTTTTTCCCGGGAAATTTTTTTCAGTTTCATAAATACTGAAAAAAGTCAAGTCAAGCCGGTGATTAAAACCGAACGAGACCATAGGGTGCAAAGACAACAGTGTTACCTATAGACAAAGTGAAAAGACTCTTGCAAGTTGTTAAGGTTCAATAACGTAGCAAGTTCAATTTCTTTCAAAAAACTGTTCATGGGGGAGAAGTCTAGTTCCCGTCACAAGATACTTACTCTCACAAGTGTAATTAATATTAGTACCCCATGTTATTCGTGACTCCGCCCTCTAACCTTACCCTCTCAATTTTTACTCTCAATATGTTCCCAGTTTTTCATGAATTGCTAAAAGATAATATTGATAAGAAGTGAAATACTTTTTTTAGATTTTAGCTGAGTGCATCAATTGGTTTCAGACGCGTAAAAAATCCCTTCAAAAACATTTAGTCAAAAAGTCGAATTTGTCGAAAATATTAGTTTTACACAGATGCGAAACGACTCTGCGCATCAGTTCTGAAATAACGAAAGCGTAGCCTTCCAAGCTAGCAATTAGACAGTAAGATTCAATCCTAGAACAACAGACGAAAAACATATTCACTAGCTCAAACATGCTTTCAATTTTGCAAGCGTTCACTAAACCAACAACACTTGGCTACACGCCAGTTGATATGAAAAAAAAATATTGGGTGAGAAAATTGTGGTCATAAAAAATGTAGACCGATTAAAAAGTTCGAGCCTTAAGCTTGTATACTATCAACCGACCTGATTTATTCAAAACAAGAATGTATTTTTTTTATCCTTCAGCCGATGCAAAATAAATTAGTTCACTGAACTGACAAATCATGAGCCGAAAATGTTTAGGCCGAACAAATTTTCTAAGCAATAAAAAACAAAAACAAGAAACTATGCCTGTCAAGAATAGTAAATTCAAAAATCTACAGTAGTTAATCAAAAACACAGAGACTAAAATGAAATTTGCTTACAGCGCAAACAATTGTGATGTGGTAACTAAGCCGACAAAACATAAACCGACAAGTTATAGTCCGACTATTCATTTTTTTTGGGAAAAAATTGACTTCAGGCATTGAAATCCAGAGCATAGGCTATAAAAGAAAAGAAATTAGAAAAGAATTTTTGTCATTTGTTTTGTAGAATTATCAAAACAAAACTTGATGATTGCTTTTACTTTTTTCAAATAATTATGTTTCAGAGCCGGACTGATCAGAGGTTCGATTCGCAGAAAACTCATCGGGTGAGCTAATTGTGAATAACTTCGTTTTTTCTCTATTCCACGCTGCCAGTAAAGGAAATATGCACCAAAGAATGCAATGTTTTAATTACAAGTAAAACAAAAAAATCATAATTAATGCATAAAAGTTATAATGCGTACAATTAATTTTCCTATACATTATTGATAACAGTTCCAATAATATAATGAAGTTCCTTTATTTGGTTTTAGCAAACGGGATCCATCAGCTGAGAGCGGTAACAATATTATTTCATCAAATTTTTCGTCTCATTTTGATCTGAATTATTTTAAGTTTCTTTTTTAGCTGCCATGCGCTGGAAAGCATCACCCAGTACGATCCTTAATAATATGATTTATAACTTATTTATCTCTTATTGTAATTTGACCTCTTGATTGGTTTAGGGTTCTTTGCCAAACCCCCCAGAGAACGGCTGTTCAAGCGGTGGAGGGGACCTAAAGGTGTGCTTGGTTTGGGTTATCTTCATTCATATTTCTCACTTAAAGTTTTGCATGATGATAAAATAAACTCTATTCTGAACTAGTTTGAATAGATGGATCAAATTAACATTCTCCCAATCCCCCCTCGCCCAGATAGACCAAGCTAGGAATATCCGCCTCGATTTTAAACTTGAAGTGAAACTTGCTGAGCTCTGGGTAGGGGTGATTATGTTAAACTGGTTCAAATAGATTCATAAATTTACTTAATCTTAGACGGTTTTTTCTATCATTAAATGTTGTGGTGATTCAGCTATACGTTAAACTGCTGCTTTGCAAAACTTTCATCAAATTCCATTTACCCAAACTCCAATTGTCTTTCAAATCATCTAAAACACATAAATGTGTGCATTTCAAAACTCTTATAGTGATAATTTAATTCTACTTCAAACTCAAAATTAGTCTACGTTTCTGATCTAGGAGAGAATTTGGCGCGACTCTATTTACGAGGCAGATCCATAAACCTACAAGGACCAAATGAGTTCACAAAGGGGCGTCTAAATGCTGTGGGAGAGGCACCCGAGGAAACCTTAACAGTAGAGTGGGTGTTTGGATACAGAGGGAAGGACTGTCGGAACAATCTGCATGTTATGAGCACAGGAGAGATATGTTATTTCACAGGGGCTATAGTTGTGTTGCATAACACGTGTGAATTGACGCAAAGACACTATTTGGAACACACCGCTGAAATTAAGAGGTCAGTAACCGTTCAGAGTCAAGTTAATCACACTGAATTGTTCTAAACTACGTCATGATATGATCAGTAGCGTGGCGAGGGGGGAGGCTGTAGTCATAGTGGCTAGCGCAAGAATTTTTGGGGGCGGGGGAGCGTGGACGTTTGTTGTCGAAAATTTTTTGTCGACCTTTCAAGTCGACCAAGAATTTTCCAAGATGCTCAAATCACTGTTGTTCAAATAAAGACAAAAAACCGTCCTTGCCCCATCAGAAGAATTCTTGCTAATCTAGGTTGAGTCCAACTGTTGGTGTTTAGCTTGGCCCTTCACCCTGACAAAGTGACAGTTGCGAGTGGTCAGGGGATCGGAATTGCAGACACTCCCACTGGCAGCTTCCTGGTGAGTTCGAATTCCATTCAGCACTGGCAATCAACGAGGGAGAAACTATATAAAAGTCTCTAAGTGCAATTGGTCCGAAAACTGAAATAGAAATTTTCAATCAATTGTTTTTTTTTTCAAAAAAGCTTGAAAAGAAGGAATTGTAAGGATAATAAAAATTAATTAAGAAATTGTACGGATGCTCTTAAATTTTCTACATTGCGTTGAATTTTCCATTTTAGCCCCATGTGCGTGTATGGAACAGTATCAGACTGGAGACACTGAGTGTGATAGGAGAAGATTTGTTCAACAAAAGCATCAACAACATCACATTCTCCAAATTGGTACACAAAGTATTACATTATATTGAGAATGACATGCGAAAAGCAACACTTTTTCAAAAACCACAAACGGATGAACAACACAAAAAAAAGAAATTGGACTGCCAGAATTCGATTTCAATTCTATTGAAAGAAACGGTGCTTGAAACCCCAAAAATGAGATAGAAAATAGGATAAACGATACAATTAATTGTATAGTATTTGATGTATCACAATATTCTGTGTAGGACGGAGGAATCCATTTGTGTGCAATAGACGAGTCCATAGACCACATCATGACCATCTGGGACTGGAAGCAAGACCCAATCATTCCACTGGCACAGGAATCGGTGAGATAATCAATAAATGCAGGAGCAATTAAATAATAGACTGCCCCGCTTCGCCGTCGTTCTGTTGAGAAAAATCCTCCTGTTGGCTGGACTGATAAGGCTTTACTTTATTTGTTTCAACTAAGTTTTTTTGTCCCTGACCCACGCGTACCGAAAACACTAAAACTTTGATTAAGAAACTTAACTGTGATCGAAACCTTCTGTGCTACTTACCACAGCAATCGGCTATTCTTATGTTAATTTTTCAGATTTTAGAATCTCTGATTTTTATCGAATTCATTCAATTCATCCACACCTAAGTACTTACATACATACTCACATCGAAACATGCAAAGCAGCAACATACTTTTTTGGGTCGAGCAAAGTCGCGTAAAAACTTTTCGGTCGCGCATATTCGCAGCATACCCATTTTGATTCGAAATGGTCGCAACATACCTAATTTGAGTCGCAATGGTCGCAACATAAGTCCCTGACCTCGACCCCGGTAATGAGGAACTGAATACTAAATCACGCTGTAACATAGTGTCGTGCGAAGACATCACGGCTTTATGTTCCAAATTGGTGTGTTTTAACCAAATTTTCTGACGTCATTGGTCTTTCTAGAGTACCAAAGACCAAACAATATGAACTAAACTGATCGCAACGTGATTTTGATATTTTAGTAGTCTCCTAAATCTAACAGAATACTTTGAGTCCCTTTAAAGGATTTTTTAACTTCCGTGACGGAAAATTGCTACTTAAAAAAGTAGTTTGGATAGAAAATTAGACTGGTTAAAGGCATCCAAAGTTTTTTTGTTTTTAGACGTTTCTGGAGACAGTGGTCTCTCTGGAGTACCATCCCAGCAGAGGCATGGTAGTAGTGGCCAGTAAAGAGACACTCTCTTTCTGGACAGTCAGACCCCACTCCTCAAATGGGGAAGAGGGAGAGGTGGGGGAGAGATACGAGGGGGGAGATTTAATTTCAGGAGGGGAGACACCAGAAACTCCTTCATTTCGCAAGCTGAAGTTATCCAAACAGCTGGCCACTTTCGATGTAAGTTTTGGGTATATTTTTCAACGTTTAATTTTATGCCGTCTAATTATTAGTTAACAGCTGTTCAAGACAAAAAAAAAGAACTTTCCAAGTTTTTCGCTAGCAAAAGATTGTATTTATTTTTCATATGTTGCAGCTGGTTGAGAAGCCCAAACAAGTGACGAGTGTGGCCTTTTTACCCGATGAGTCACTAGTCAGTGGGGACTCCAACGGAAACCTGGTGCAATGGGATCTATGTAAGCAATTTTAAATTTTACAAACCTTTTCGGACAGTAATCTTAATATTTACAAACCTTTTCGGACAGTAGTTATAATTGAATGAATACATCGCGTGGAGTGAATGGAGATTTCCGGTTCGCTTTTTCAGTCAATTTGGTTTAAGATCATTCTCCTTCACGTAGAGGCAAATTGAAGTTCGTTTGGATACAATATTTAATTGTAAATTTTTCCAATTGAGTTTTCATAGTTATTTTAAAGCCATGTTACTAAATGGTGGACCATTTGATAATCAAAGAGACAAAAAAAACGCTCGAGAAGAACGGTCTTCAAGCGACATCGAAGTTTTCAACTAACGCGAACATAGTGCACTTTGAACCGGTCTTTTAACTTAACGGGTATTTTTAGAAATTATGAAGCAATCTCTTAAAATTATGTTTCTTTGATAATTTCAGATAGCGGCCGTGTGGTCCGTGCGTGCAAGAAGGTATTGGAGGGAGCCATCAGTGCAATAGTGTGTGACCCCAATGATAATGACACTCTCTTCCTAGGGGGCATACAGTCGCCCATATTAGTTCAGATGGACATGAATGAATTCAATCAGATCAGTGTCAATAATGGAGTAAGAGCTTATTACAAAAGCATAGGAGCAAATGCAAAATGAATTTTTGTTAAATCAATCAGTGTCTGATTTTTGAAAAAAATCTTAGTTTTCTTAAAAGAAAAATTACCAAACTTCTAGAAAAAACTCATGCTTTTTTGCTTTTGGCAGTGGAAGTATTTTCGGCAAACGCTTTGTTCAGCTTCGATAAATTGTCATCCCTTTTTTAATTGAAAATTTTCATTTAAAAAGTACCGATACAAATAGCTCCATCTGAAATGCCCCAACCCTGGCGTTTCATTCAGGTGTAGTTGGATTGTTCTTTCCTTGTCTAGATAGTGGACGTGGTTGGTGGCATCCGGACCATTGCCTTCGACTGCAGTGGAAGAGTGTTCATAGGCACCACCAGGAACTGCATCCTCACCAGCGAGAGAGACAGAATCCAATTCACATTCGCATCCATGGTCAGTCTCATTTAACTATTAGACACTTGGATAAAGAAAAAAATTGGGTCCGAGCCCGCACCGAGCACCCATGGATTTTAATCGATTATGCTGAATTTCCTGGGCCAACGATGATCCTTACTATATGATGCAGGGTAAATAAAAAATAATCGTAATGGAAAATGAGTTCTTGATAGAACTGGCATTTTGAAAAGAGGAGCAGATTGTATAATTTGATCTTTTGCATTCTATTAGAAAGAACATAACAGGTTCGTTATATAGCAACAATCAAAATGAAATGGCCACTAGAGTCCAGTTTCTAAACTAAACCATGGATTCGTGTCCCCCCTCAGATGGCATTCGGTTGGATTTCACTTTATATTTGTTGAGCGTTTGTGTTATGACTTAGTTTTGCAGGGCCACTCGAAGGAGTTGTGGGGTCTGTGTTGTGAGCAGGAGAGTGAGAAGTTCCTGACTTGTGGCAGTGACAAACTCATCGTCTGCTGGAACAGAAGACAGGCCGAATGGTACAAAGAGGCATGTTCATTCAAGCCACTTTATTCACGCACAAACTAATTTTCTTCAAAAAATAAACGAAATTTCTGTCACATTTTAAGGCTCCATGAGAAACTGTTCCTTGGTAAATTTGTTCTGGGGGTTTCAATAAGAGAGGTTTTGTCCCACAGGATTCTATTTTGGATGATATATTATCCTAGAACCCCATTATCGGTAACTCCTAGAACAAACAGCCTAGAAAATTGACATCATTTAGGGGAGTAAAATTGTGACAATTTCATCCTTTAGCTAAGGTGGTTAGCCTGGGTGTTCAGTTTAAAATTAAACACCATTTATAGTTTCAATTTGAATGACTAAGAGAATTTACAAAAAAAACAAGTAGACGTGGAACGCAGAAAACTATTAGGCCTATTATAGTTCAAGCTCATTAGTACACCATCAAAGCGTATTGTAATATTACGAATTTATTATTAAAAAACAAACATTATTTTTTTTTCTAATTTAAATGGCAAGTAAAAGCACTCACTTGGTGGCACTTTTGGTATATTTTAATTTAAGAATATTTATCTTATTTAATTGTAAACAAACTAATGGCATATGTTGTTGCTTTTTTGTTTTTGGCTAGTGTAAGGCCCTGTTTAAAAAACATCAGTTAGGAAAATATATGGGATTTGTTGCTTTTTGTTTTGTTTTGCGCCATATCTGGAAATTGTTGCACTTTTACAGAAAATGAAAATTTTCGCAATAATCATTTTTCATCTTATCTCGGGTTCTACGGCCTTCTAAAGTTTTAGCAGGAGAATTTTAGACCTATTTGTTTTGAATTTTCTCAAATAACAATTGCGCAATCCCGAGATGAAGATTTCAATAAAAAAGAAACAAGTTATGGGGATCTCCCTTCTCAAGCGGGTATTCCTTAAAAATGTTAGAAAAAAGATATGGCCTCAAACAAGCCCATTTTTTTGACACTAAGGTTAATTTTAAAACTTTTTGATTTTTCCACAATTACCCTGCCAAATTGGAGATAAAGGGTTTAACCAAAAAAAAACAGTTACTCGAACCTTACCTGAGAAAGCGGCTATGCCCTGCGTTTTGAAAAAAGACATGGCCTTGAAAAGTGTCCAATTTTTGAAAATTTTCGGTTTTTTGGAAAGATAGTTCTTTTTCACATGTAACCTGCTGGTTTTGAAACTGATAGTTCATTAAAAACTATCACGGTGTTTAGTATTTTCTAGCTTAATCTTTTTTCCCTGTTTTTTTTTGTAGAAAAATTGAAATGGATTTCGGAAAAAGTCCTATCGTCACTGTTCTCAAAAACTAGCTAAATCTGATATTAAGGGTTCAACCTAGAAATTCATGGTGCGAAAATCCCAAATCTGAAAATTCGGATGTAGCAAGCAGAAGAAAGTTTCATGCTTTAGAAGAGAAAAAATTATGGATTTGTTAAAAGTCACTTTTTTGAAACTTTGATCGATTTTTGGAATCTTTTTGCTTTTTTGTAAGCTGCCTGGTCAAATTATAGATGACGACTTCAATTGAAAGAGGGAGTAGCTGTTTTCTCCTTTAATTAGGCGGTTAATCTACTTAAGCAGAGAAACTCTAGGATTTAGCGTAAAGTTCAACTTTTGAAACTATGAGAACCACTTTTCTCCATATCAGTACAATATATGATTAAAAATTATAGATGTAGATGGTAGATGAAAAATTTAATGTAGGTAGGTTAAGTTTTGTAGATTTATCTAGCATTCGCTGGGCCACTAGTTTGTTCACTTCAAAGCGGGCGTAGCGCAGATTCGAGGACGTGAACTCCTTACCAACAGGTCGCATATTCAAAGCCGGAACATTAAAAAATATATATTTTTTGGTCGAGTTTTTGCTGCATAACATTGGCAGTTTGATAAAAATTGTAGCTCCTTTGCTGGTTGCTATTTTTAAAAAAATTAAAGGCAACTGTGGAGCAGATTTGAAAACTTGATACTCCTGGTCTCAACAAAGAAACTTGAAGGTGTATTTTTAATCTTTTCCTTATTTCACTTCGTTTTGCCTTTTTAGATATCTTGTTTCCATTTTCCTTGCTTTTGTTTGCGTTCCGCAGCTTCGTCTCTCTGTTAATCAAATCTATGTCTTTATCTGTGTGCTTCTCTGTGTGTGTGTTTGTGTGTTTAGCTTTGTGAATGTTTCCCCGGTTCCCTGATAATGCGCTTATCTTGCTTCAATCTTTTCCTTTCACTGTAGCTTTCCCGAAACTAAAGAACCCATAATTACCTTTGTATTTTTCAGAAAATTGTAAAATTTTTCTTTTATTTTATTTTTTTAAAATGCGGGTAGAATTTTTGATCTTAAAATTGACTGTTATTTATATAAATCGCGTTTTTTTTAACTTGTTTGATTTTGTTCTTCACTTTTTTTGCTAGAGTTTATTACAATTATGGCATGGGAACTGTAGTGTATTAGTACGAACCTTCGTTTTGAAAGCGAACTTGCAAATATGCAGCATTAGAACTTCATGGCATCTGTTTCCCGCTTTATTTGTGGCTAGTGTTTGTGATTAGTTAAACATACACGGTTGAGTTGTTGAGTGCGTGAGACTCTTAATTTTTAGATCGCAGATCGAATCGGATACGTAAACGATTTTAAAAAAATTTTAATTCGAAGCTTTTTCTACTTTTTCATTACTCTTTTTAGCGCTGCTTTCTCTCGTGTTCTCGCTGGTGTTTGCGAAGCGAAGTTTCGCCTGTTTAATTTTTAGATTTTTTTCTAGTTACTTTCAACTCTTCTGACAATAAGCTAGCTCTGCTCGAGTGCTCTTCAATCTCTTCTTTTTTCATTTTTTACGATTTCGATCAGCGTAGTGTATCATTTCATAAGGAGACAAAGATAGGCTGTAGAAACCGCAAAAAAAACCTTTCATTCTGATTATTGCACTCAAAAAACACAAACTTGTCTAGAGACACACCTTTTCTTTGAATGAACGTTTTTTTTCAGTGACTTTTAGTGCAGTAATTCTGGCAAAGAAGTTGAATTTACCCTGAAATTATCATTTGTTGCAGCTGTGTTTCCTTGAAACTATATCTTGAATAGATTAGTCAAAATTGAGGTGAAATTGATTAGATTATAAACTATTTTTCGGTACTTTACAAAACTGGTTGCTTTCGTGAGAAACATTAATTATAGTTTGTTTAGGTTAAATAGTTCAGAATGCAATCATTTTTCTAAGCTGTCAGAATTGATTGATTTTGTAAGATTGAGTTCAAGTGCGGGGTGGCCTTCTCACAGAGCAATTTCGAATAAAATACACAGTCTGTGCGTCACTTATCTAATCCTATTTCAGACTTCTTGTCTAATACCTATCGAAAACTTACTCTTGTATTTCTTAGTCTCACTAGAAGTAGTATATACCGGTAGTCATGCGAAGTTAGAGTAGACGAAGAGCAACTGCTTTCTAAAATATATTATTTTTTCTCTGACTGAAACTATAAAGAGTTCCAGCTTTACAATTTATCATAAGTTTTTTTAATGGACCATGATTGGTTAGTTCTAAATCCGTAACAGTGATAATTATCAAAGAAAACAATTGAATATATAAAATACTTGTTTTAAAGTGATTTTCTCCCATCCGGGGCTTAGGAAGTTTTTGAATCAAAGTTTTCTTGTGAAGGATGGATGGGGTGTTTTCTAAATTTTTAGCGAAGAGTGGCAGTTGCTCGTTGTCAGTGAAGTACTTGTTGCCGGGAGAGATAGAGATTCAAGAGATTAGTAATGAGCTAGAAGATCGTATCGAGGTTGCAGACTCCTACTAATTATGTGTCGATTTCGTGAAGTAGAGCGAGACTACGTGCATTCTCGACTACTTATTGATCATATAGCGAGATAGGGTTTGACTTCTCTGTGTGAAACGTCAAAGACTAGAATCCGTTCTCGGAATTCAATATCGAGCGTGCTATTGTTCATGTTCAATGGATGCCTTTGCTGCGATACTGGCTGGTTATTTAGGCTTAGTTTTAATTCCTTCTTCCAACCGGGCTTAAGAAAAGTTTGAAACGTGTAAAAGCGTGTTAAAGTTGTTGTCAGTTAATTTGACAACCTACAAAATCATTTGCTTACAATTATCATAGTGGAGAGATACGCGAAATACTGGAAGAGTGTTTGTATCCTAATTTTTACTCATTATTAATTTAAATCATTGTATAGAAGTGTTACTGCGTGTTTTAATTTAATTTTTGCTGTGTTGCAAGTTTTTTTTTCATTTCGAGATTTTACGGCCAGTAGTTAATTTTATTTTTGGAGTTTTTACCCTTAAACTTAGTTTTTTATTTTGTTTTGTGCTTGTACAAATAATTGGTGAAACTTAGAGAAAAGTTGGTGAAACAGAAGTGAAGAAATAGGGGACAAAATTTTTGAGAATAATTAGTCAAAATTGAATAAAAAAAATCCATTAGGAAGGTTATTTTCAATCGTGGGTAGTTGCAAAAGGAGCTTTGCAAGCTTGATAATTACTTTTTTATATCTTAAGAGTGGCCAGGGAAGTTTAAGTGCTCGGATGAGTTTAATTTAATCTTGAGTTACTGCGAATTAATGGTGAGTACTTTGAAAGAAAATTTAGAGATTGTGGTTAACTTTTACATTGCGAATGTTTTCTAGAAGTAAAATTCTAAAGGCTGGATGTTTTCATGCGGGTTGAGAATGGGGCGGGAATCGTCAGTGGGAAATTGTTTGAGAGGGGGCAAAATTGTAGATTTGACGCACTGGATCATAATTACTAAGGATGCCGTGCAGGTTAGTGGTTTTATTACAGTAATAAAATTTGAGAAAATAGGGTGAGGAATTTTTCAAATTACTTAAATTTATCGGTGATGAGGATTTTGTGAGGGGAAACTTGAATGAAGAGTCTGTGTATGAAGCGATATTGAGTGTGCGTGTGAGTTATTTTTGTTATCAGTATAACTTCATGCGAGCAGCTGATTTTGCGTTCTTTTAGGACGAAAAAGTTGAAGGTAAGTTGAAAATAATCAAATTTAGTG